TTTGGAGATCTTCTTTCTAGAAGTTTCTCTTCATGTGTTTTGGTGTGTGTGTGTGTGTGTGTGTGTGTGTGTGTGTGTGTGTGTGTGTGTGTGTGTGCGCACGCACGCTGGTTTGCAGGAGTTCACTGTAATGCCAGGGCGGTGGACCTTTGTCAGATGCCTGCACTGTGAATGTTTCCCCTTGCGTGGTTTTTTCCTCTTGCTGTTACTGATTCTAATTTCCACTTAGCAGTCCTTTATGGGCAGTTGTGTGTGTGTGTCCTGTTTAAAGCATCTGTCTGCTCCTCACTGCACCTGCCTCACCTGTGCTGCTCAAATCCTCTCCCCCACAACCCTGGGGTGCTCGTGGGTGGAGGCTGCTCTTCGCCTGTGCCGTAGACCCCGGGGCAAGCACAGGGCTTAAGACAAGACACACCGATGAGTGAGTTAATACATGGGAGCACTACTCAGCCATAAAGATGGATAAACTCGAGTTACTCGTAGGAAGATGGATGCACTTTGAGACTACAATGTTAAGTGAGATGAATCAGACACACAGGCTTAAATATCACATGGTTTCTCTTATATGAGAAACTCAAAGTATAAATAGAGCAAAATAAAAGATGATAGAAAGTAGGGAGCTAGATCTTTTGCAAACGGGAAAGGGACCAAGAGATGGAGGGAGAGCAGCACAAAGACTGGAGGTGTTATGTGTCTTGGCTCCCCATGAGGAATGTGAGCATTACGCACTGCAAACATGGACCCATAAGAGTTTTTTTAAATGTTATTCATGCACTGGATAAAGTAACAGCCTCTGCACAGAGATTTTACTTCCGAAGATGAAAAGAAAAATGATTGAGAAAAACCTCTGATACACATACAAGAGAAGGGATAATTGCAAGTACCAGTTTCTTTTCTTTTTTTGTACGGGGGATCAAACTCTGGGACCTTGCACTTGCGAGGCAGGTGGTGGAACCACTGAGCTAAATCCCCAGCCCATCCAGATTTTGACAGTACCCATACCAAACCCAACAGCTTAACAACCAGCACTTACATGGACATCAGTACAGTGGTGCTTGTGGGATAAAGGAAGTGCTGGAACTTGCCTTTAACCCCTTCCAGAGCCAAACTTAGTGGATGCAATGGCAGCTTCCTGGGGTCAATATGGGACGATTTAATGGCTGATCTTAAGAACAAGGCTCCTTAAAAAACTACACACTTTCTGATAAGCAGGGTAAGGCTAGTTTAGTGTCAGGTCGATTTTTTTGTCGTCCTTATGGCAAGCCATTGACAGTGACAGAAGCCTAGTCACGATCATGAAAGAACTGAGGCATTACCTTTTCACACAATCTTAATTTTGGAAATGATTCTACTGGAGGCAGCGCTACTCATTATTACTTTTCCCAGTGATATTTCTAGGGAGGAACAAATGGTAATCTGGGGACGCAAATTATAAACAGGGCCAGGGTGCAAAATTTAATGCCTTAAAAGGCTTCCGAAGGCTGAAAAGCTTCACAGAACAGCACCGGTATGTTCTGCTCTGGGGAATACCATGGGGTCTAAAGTTGATCAGGGAACAGAGGAAGTTGAGAAAATAGAATTCAGGCAGAGGGGACAGGGAAAAGATGATACAGTTCGACCATCAGGCCAGCTGTTTTCCAGCGGAGTGACTAAGCTTCCTGTGGGTGGGCTCCAACCTCAACTGACAGCTGACAAAATACAACATGTCCTTAAATGGAGGAAGGAAAAAAAAAGAGAGGTGTTGAAAGAGCTACCATTTATACTAATTCACTGAAGAGGAAGTTTCTTTTCTTCATCAGTATAAAAATACTGCAAAGTTCAACCCACTCACATTAGGCTTGTTATGAACGTAGCAGTGAAATAGCTTCTGGTCTTCAGTGACGATCTCATGAGCTCAGCTTGGTCCTTTTTACTTGACAGTTGGGCAGCATTAGATGCAGTGGCTGCTTGGTCCTTCTCGAACATTCTCACTCATGCTCTGATGGCCCACAGGCTGCTTCTCCTTGCTTGGGTCGCTTTATGAGTGAGCCCACAGCTGGATTCTGGGCCTTCTTTAACTCTTTCCCTAATGACCCTGTTCATTCAAACTCCACCCAACACTGCTACTTTCTCAAATCTCTAGCTCCAGTCCATGTCTGCCGATCTTAATACTTCTATACCTGCTCTTAGAAGTATCAGTCAGTACATCTAGAATGATTTATTCCAGATCAAATCTGTCTGACCCACCAATTTTCTCTACCACAGTAGTGATACCACCTTTTCTTTGAGGTCTATGTATCTCAGGCTGGCCTTGAACTTGCAGAGATCCTCCTGCCTCAGCCTTCTAGGTGCTGGGGTTACAGGCCTCTACCACTATGCCCAGCAGTTATTCTTCATTTCTTTTTTGTTTGAGACAGGGTCTTGCTACATTATGTAGCCCAAGCTGGCCTTGAACTTGCAGTAATCCTCGTGCCTCAGCCTTTTAAACGCTGGGATTACAGGCACACACCTCACCCAGCAAGTCATTATTTTTTTCCTTCATTCTTCCATATCCAACCCAATAGCAAGACTTTTTTTTTTTTTTTTTTTTTTTTTTTTTTTTTTT